GTTCAGCAGCCTCCAGCCCTGACTCGGTGCTGCGGAGCATCCCCACGGTGCGTCCTGCTCCCACGGGGATGGGCATCGCCGCCGGGACACGGCCACCCCAGCCCGCCCGCCCGCTTACGCTGGAAGTCGGTCAGAGACACCATCTTGCCGGCGGCAGGGCTGGGCGAGGCCGGGCGAGGGCGGTCGCCCTTCCACGTGCCTCCCTGGCAGTGACCCTTGGAAAGGCCTTTAGTCCCCACGTCATCCTGCAAATCATTAACGACCTGGCAGCGCCTGCCCTGCGCCGGCAGCATCTCCTTCGAGGGGGGGGGGATGCGGAGGCCAGGCATCGCTGCAGGGTGACATATAGAGGGGCTGGTGGCCGCGGGTCCCTGCCTGGTCCTGCCCTCCCTGCCCCAGCCTGCACGTCCTCCCTGGGAAGGGATGGCTTGGAGCAACCCCCAAAAATAGGGGGATGCACGCGGCTGTGGTGTCCCTTGGGGTGCCTGAGTGGTACCCGGGGCACCGTGAGCCCCCAGCTGGGAGGGAGCCCCACGCGGCACTGGGTGCTGCATGCACAGCTCCCCACAGCATCGTCGCCGGTGCATCGCATGGGGCAGGGACGGTCCCAGCTCACCCGCTGTGCCCCAGCCCCGCGCAAGCCCCGGCCCCTGGGGTTTGCTGCCCGGTGCAGGACCGACGGCTTGGCCAGACCTGCTGCCTGCGGCCGATGCAGGGTCCCCGTGTGGCACGTGCCACCCCCGAGCCACCCCACAGGGACCTCTACACCCATGTCCCTCAGGAAAGCCCGCAGGGACCAGCTCCACACATTTACAAACGAGCTGCTTTTATTCTTTGGCTTTATACAAACTCGCCAGGTACAAATGCGTTTTTTATTCCTCCAAGAGGGCTGGCTGTTGAGCAGCTACAGCTAAAATGAACTCCACTGGGAAAGTGACCCCCCAAAACAGGGAGAGGGAGGAGAAGGTGCCACCAGCCCTGGAGTGAGCTATGGGCAAGGTCAGACCCTTCCTGAACGGTTGAAATGCTGTAGCCATTCGTCCACTGCCTCTTTGGTCTAATATTAAAGTGTTATCTGAGGTCACCTCTAGACAAAAGACACTGACACCTTGGTGTTTCTTAGATACTTTTATTTCTCTAACACTAGCAAAAAAACCCAGAAAACAAATGCCTCCCTTCCCACCCTCCCCAGTGCATAAATAGATTTCCTCCCGATGCAAATCCTTTCTCGGTTACAAGTCACTGGTATATGAAGTGTTATGAAAAATAATAACCAAAATAAAATTAAGTTTTTTTTAAAAAAAAAAAACAAAAACCCAAACGACCACCGGGTTCCACAATAGGACAGCCATGGAGTCCCGGTGCACTGGGCTGCGCTCACGCCTTGGGGGAGGCTCAGACCTGGCCACTGCTGCACGGCTGAGCTGGAGCTAGCCGGCAGCTCCGGGCACGCCAGGACCAGGAGCACCGGGATGCTCCTCGTCCCCTCCGGCCCCCAGAGACAGGAGGAATTGCTGCCTGTGGGCCTGCGTGCCCCCTCAGCTCCCCAACGGGCAGCACAGCCTCTGCGTGGGCCACAGCCGTGCACCGCAGTCCCCAGCACGTCCCCGGTGGTGTCCCCGCAGCCGGTGTAAGTGGGGTCTGCCCCGGTTACACGAGCTGGGGAGCCTGCCCCGGCCGCCACGCCGCTGCGCTCAGGGACAGGGAAATAAACGCGTCATCTCTTAAAACTTACAGTCTCTTTATATTTTATTTTAAATAAATTTGATTTTAATAAAAGCAGAAAAAATATATGTACTTTAAATAGGTTTTTTTTTCTTTTTTTTTTTTTTCTCTGATAATTGGTAAAGAATAAAGGATCTGCTTTTGTAACTCATTGGCAGGGCTGGTGCCAACAACCCTGCGGAGAGAGAGATTAGCACAAAACAGTACCTCCCAGAAAAGAAGAGAAAAACAAATATAGATATATATTATAAATGTATAATTTCCATAAAACATATATTAAGGGGTGCACGGGGGGGTGATGGGGATGCAGAGGGGGGAGTGCGGGGCAGGGGTCCTGGTGGGTGTCAGGATCAGGCCAGTAGGGAAATAGCTGCAGGATGAACGGTATCTAGCTCCTCGCTCCATCCGCCTTGCCCGCCCCAGCCCCATCGCGGCAGCCCTGCCAACCACACAACCTCGTGTGGGATTTCACTCTTCCAGGCAGAACCAGCTTTTTTTCCTCCCTCCAGAAAGCTAAAGAAAAGGGTAAACTGGCTACAGGAAAACCAAACAAATGGAAGGGTCTGGAGTGCAACGGCAAGGTCTTGGGGCGAGACGCGGTGCCAGATTTTCAGAGGGGCTGAGACAGAGGTGACAGCGGGACCGGGGGGGGCAGCTGGGGCACTGCTCCCCACGCCGAGGATGAGCCCTGCTGCTACCACCTGGCCCCAAGCCCCTTCCCCTTCTTGTCACCGTTCCCATCCACCACAGAGGGATCCCTGCCGAGCCCGCGGCTTCGCCGTCCCACCTCGCACCCCAGCTCCCCGCACCGCTCCGCTGCTCCTGTGCAACGTCCCCATCCCTGCCCAGACCTCCTGCTCCGTGCCAGTGGTGCACCAGTGCCCCGGGCAGCCCTCATACCACCCCGATCCTGAGCACACTGGGTACCTCTGTGTCCTCCCCCCAGTCCCATCTCCATCCGCCCTGTCCCCAACACAGCTCCTTCTTCCCTCCTGCTGAGCCACCAGTGCGAGGAGCGATGGGACAGGCCAGGCTCTGCCTGCCACTACTCCCAGCCAGATGGATACTGAAAGCAGGTTCAGGGCACAGGGAGGGGAACAGGTGCCCGAGGAGCAGAGATGGAGCATCCAGGTCCAGCGTAAGGTGGAAGCGCCATCCATGGTGGGGACTGGCCGGTCTCCACCCAGAAGAGCCCCTTCGCAGACCTTTTGGAGAGCAACGCATCAGCACAGGGAGTCCTATGCTCCCCTAGGGCTGCCCCGGCAAGGAGACGGCCGCTGTGCCGAGGGCTGCTGCTGCAGATGCCCCTGCCCGGCCATCCACGCAAGCCTGACTTCCAGGACACCGCTGATCTGTCCCCGTGCCAGCTGGCAGCCCGGGGGCTCCTCGGGGACCATGCTCCAGTGGACAACCTCCTGGCACCCGCACATCTCCTCCGGGACGGGGCAGAGCAGCTGGTGCTGTTGGTGACGCATCTCCCCGCTCGGCTGTGCCGGGTGGTCTCGCCGTCGGTGGGAGGGAAGGGGGTCCGGGAGAACCGAAAACGATGGCGAGAGGTTCGGTGTCATGTCGGGGTGTTAAAATGTGGCCCCGTGGAACTTGATGGCGCCGGCAGCAGCCAGGGCTTGAGCTGGAGGGAGAGGAGAGTGGGGCTGCGCTACGTGTGGGGCGGCCGGTGGTGGGGCAGCCCCTGTGAGCACCCCCCAGACCCCTCCTCGGAGGAAAACCTAGCGCAGATTCAGCTCTATGCCCCCAGCTGCCTGGGGGGGACCTCCAACCGAGCAGGGGGACGCTGCGTCCCCCCCAGTTTGCAGCCACCAATGCGGACATGCCAGGGCAGGCGTCCCCCAGAGCCTGGCCTCGAGACCACCCCCCCCTTTTGCTCCGTGCGTGGGTCCCCCTGCCCGCAGCAGCCTGCTGAGCCCCCCTGCCCACACTGGGGTCCCTGGCTGACCCTGCCCGGCGGCTTCGCCTTGGAGGACACTTGCGCTTGGTCCATGAGAGGAGACGGGACTGACGTGGCTCGGGAGACGTTAGCTGGAGCAAGCAGCGATGGACAGACGCCGGGTGCAGAAGAGGCACCCCCCACCCGGCCCCCCGGGATGGAGAGAGGATGGGATGAAGTACGAGAGAAGAGGTGCTTACTTCATGGCTCAGACACGCATAAAATGGCTGTTGTCGGCGACCCGGGATGTTTCAGACGAGAGGGGGTTGGTCGGTGGAGTCGGGGAGGCTGGGGAGGTGGGAGGGCTTGGGGTAGCGCATTGAGCTGGAAACAAGAAATGGGAGAAGGGCGTGAAGAACACAAGCTGCCGGCAGCGGCGAGGGGAAGGTGACCCAGCAAGAGGTTAGCGGAGGGGAGGAAACTGAGAGGAAGGAAGGGGGGAAGCAAGCATGGTCAGGACAAACAGCCACAGCGGCGCCCGGCCGCGGCACGCACACGTGAGCTCCCCGCAGGGCTCCTCATGGACAAGGCATGGCGTGCCACCACGCTCGCTCAGGCACGGCGTGCCACCGTTGCGCTGCGTGGCCAGGCGCTCCCATCCTGCAGCCTTGCGAACGCTTCTGACAAGGTGCCGAAACCTGAGCCCGGCCGAAGCGGCTGCTCCATCCCACGATGCTCTGCGCTGCCACAGGGGAAGGCAGCCCCAGGCACCGCAGGCAGGGCCCCGGCAGCTGCCGGCATCACTGGGCTAGCCGTCCCACCGCACAGGGATGCCCTGCGCCAGGACCGACGCGGCCCGCTTTCCTGCCCGTATCGGCCCCTCGCTCTTGCTGCCTGTCCAGCCCATCAGCTGGTCCTGCATCCAACCTGCCCCATCTGCCCTGCCCTCACCGCTCCTGCCCGCTCGGCACGTAACGCTACCTGTGGTCCGCTCTCCCGCGGGGCTGGCAGGCTCCGACCCTCCGTGTCCCCCCGTGCCTTACCCGAGAGCATGCGGCCCCGGCGGGAGGCCTCGGTAGCCAGCGTGCACGAGATCTCTATCCTCTTCTCCTGCTCCTGCAGCTGGGTCTCAGGGTCCTGGGGGGCGTCCACCTCCCCCTCACCCAGGGGGATGACATTCTGCAGGCTGCGCAGAACACCCGGCATCAGCACCCATGCCTGGCCCCAGCGGGACAGACCCTGCGGGGATGGCCAGGGAAGGGGTGCAGGTGGGTGGCAGGGTGCACTCTGGGACAGCCGCTGTGGGCACAGGCACAGCAGCCTCACCTGGATTTGGCAATGAGGGTCTTGATCCTTTCCACCTTCTTCTGCTTCTCCTTCATCTCCTCAGGGCTGAGCGGCGTGTCGGGCTCCAGTTCGACGTACCGCTCGGGGATGATGACTTTGTCCGGCGTGGAGAGCTGGGCACAGTGGCAAGGGCTGAGCCTAGTGCCAGTGCTGGGAACCCGTCCCCGCTCCAGCACCCACCTGCCCCACTTGCCCCCAGCTCCCAGCACCTGCCTGGGCAAGGGCAGCCCCTGGCCGGGCACAGCCAGTGGCTCCAGGATCCTGACCGACGCAGGAGGATGGATCGACCCCCCGGAGCAGGGTGTGGAGGGAGGGATGCCCCGTGCCCAGGCTGCCAGCTCCCCCAGGACAGCCTGTCCTCACCTCCTTGTTGATGTCCACGTCATAGTGCTGCGGCTCCAGCTCCATCTTGCGCAGCCGGGCGATCTCCTCCTGGGGCGTCTCGTAGACCTTGCCGGGGTCGTCGGAGCGCAGCGCTGCCTCCAGGTCGGAGATGTCCACCTCATGGATGCTGCGGTGCCGGCGCACCTGCGAGGGACCCCAGCCCTGCTGAGCCCACCCGGGATGATACACAGTCCCCTGCCCCAGCACCCACCCCCTTCCCCAGCCCCCAGCGTCCCCTCTGCTCTCTCAGAGACTTCAGGCGCTCTGCAAAGGTCGGTTTGCCCCAGCCCCGCAGCCGGTGCAGGGACTCACCACCTTGTAGGAGGCGGGTGCCTTTGTGCCAGGGGTGTCGGGCTGCTGGCTGCCCGGGAGCTGCAGGCTGCGCCGCTTCTCCTTCATTGAGCCGCTCTGGTGGCGCTTCATGCGGTCGATCTGCTCCTCCACGCTCATCTTCACCTTCGTCTCGTTGGCGAACACAGCGCTCTTCGTTCTCTCCTGGGGAGAGCCCAGCCCCACGGTCACGCCCCCCTGCCGCATCTGGCCCCATCCACCCAGTGCCACAACCCTCTGGAATGGGGCTGCTCAGCCCACTCCCAGGGTGGGGGGAAAGGCACCGAAATAGCCCGGGGGGTCCCGAGGAGCTGGATGCTGAGATGTGGAGCCATGCAGGGACGGGCTCCCCTATGTGCTGCCCCAGCCCTGCAGGCTGTGATACAGCCCCCACCTTGCTAGCCCAGCCCCCCACCAGCCACAGGCACCACCTCCTCCTCTGCCGGAGACTTGGTCCTGGGGGGGACGATGCCCACTGCGGAGTAAACCGAAACGCCAGGCTGAACCCCCCCAGGGAGCAAGGGCAGGGTCCCAGCAAGACGCCGGGTGCTCCTGGCAAGCACGGGGAGCCCGCTGGAGCAGGACCCGCCGACCCCGGTGCCATACCCTTGTTGAGAGCCGCTTGCTTCTCTGCCTCCTGCTCCTGCCGGCTCTGCGGGAGCCCCTCGGCAGGGGGCCCAGGGGCGGCTGGTCGCTGCGCCTCTTTCTTGCTCTGCTCGAAGCTCAGCTTGGGCTGCGGGGGAAAGCAGGTCCCTGGTGAGACCCTGTCCTGCCTGGGGGCCATGCTCTGCCTGGGGACAGACCCGCTGCTCTCCGCAGCCACTGGGTGACATACAGCCCGCAGACACACTCCTGGGAGGGGATGGAAACACAGACACCAGCCAGGCGGTACCAGTGCACCCCGAAAGTGCAGGGAGAGGGGCTAGCAGGGCTCTGCAACTCTCGCTCCCGCTATGCCCCAGCCCATCGAGGCTGGGCACCGATCACTGTCCCTGTAGGACAGGCTCCTGCATGGGAAAAGCTTCCTGCAGGGGTGACGATCCTGCCACAGCTTGGAGGTGGCACTCCAGGACAGGGACACCCTGGCTCTGTGCCGAGCTCCAGCAAGATGCCCGTGCCTGCGGGAGGGGACAGGTTCCCATGGGGGCAGAAGTCAGGGCAGACACTGTGCAGCAGCGGAGAGCAAGCAAAGGGCCATTTTCGGGGTCCTTCCCTTCCTGCATCCCCTGGGCACAGCCTGCCCAGGGCCTGGGCACTGGTGCAATGGCGCTGGTACAATGGAGGGGTACGGCAACAAGCTGAGAAGCCCAACGTGCCCCCCTCAACTGCCCTGTGCTCTTCATGGAGGTCATGCATCCCGACACCCTTTACACCCCGTGGATCAGCATGCAGCCACGACTGTGCTACCCTGCAGCTGCACGGCTGCTGGAGGTGCCACTTGCAGTGGTGTCCATTACCCTTCCCAACTCAGCACGGCTGCTGCTTTGCAGTGCCAGCCCCCACGTGCACGCATCCTGACCCCCCCAGCTGCAAGGATGCTTGTGTCTCCTGGTGTCCAAACCTGGCCCCTTCCCCTGGTGGAAGCACGGTCGAGGCATTACCAGGAATTCCCAAATCCGGGTTTGCCCTGGGTGGGCAGGAGTTGGGGGGGTCACCCCCATCGGCAGAGCTTGCCAGTACTACACGGTGGGGAGCGGCACCATGGAAGGACAGCAAGAGAGGTGAGGGCAGAAGAAAGCAGAGGGGCTGACACCGGGGGCTGCAGCAGTTTCGGGGGCTGCCCAGGAGGAGCCAGTCCCTGCCCTGAGTGAGCGCAGTGGGTGCTGTACCCTGCCCTGAGTGAGCGCAGTGGGTGCTGCGCGTGGGTGCAGGGAACCTGGTGGGGACAGGAGGGCCACAGCGAGGCTGCCGGGGGAATACTGCCCGTTGCTCCCCTTAGAGAAGGCAGGTACCAGCCACGTCCTGCTGTCCCCTAGCCAAGTGCCACCTCCATGCTGTCCCTGTCCCCCCTGTGAGGGCAGAGGGTGGGCAGCCCCATCACCCATCTCATCCCAGCCCCTGCCAGCTGATGTCTCAGGGAGGAAGAGGACAGGGCCGCTGCTGCCGGGCTGCTCTGGAGAGGTTTCGGTACCTGTCCCCTCTTCGCCTCGCCGCCTTGCTGCCAGGAAGGGGAGGTGGGGTACGGCCAGAGGCGGCTCTCACCGGGGAGCGGAGGAACGGTCGGAGGAGACTCCAGGGGTACGTAGGATTTGGGGAGGGGAGGTCGAGGCGGGCCTGGTTCCTGGGGTGGAGAGGAGCGTGAGGCGTGAGAGCAGAGACACTGAGAGCCGGGAAGGAAGAGAGAGTTAGAGAAAGATCGAGACAACACACAGTGGAAGCGTTGAGCCAAGGAAAGGAGGAGGGAGAGCAGCCGGCCGCCGCTCCGGGGGCCCCACGGTCTCCATGTCCACATGCAGAGGGGGCAGCGCTTCCCACCTCCTGCGCTGCCCTTACTGCTGCACGTCCCCCCAGGGCAGCGGGGCCAGGCAGGGCTCGGGGGCTGCCCAAGCGAGGGGCTCCCGAGCTTGGGGCTGGCAGCCCCCAGGAGACATTGGCATCGCCTCTGCGCAGCCAGGTGGGGTTGGGAGTCCCCAAATGCCACCCTAAACTTCACGTTGACGAAGGTGAGACCACCACTGCTGGACCCCGAGCAAGGGCAGCAAGAGGGGACTGTGGTGGCAGCAGGAGCTGGTCCTGAAGCCAAAGGCTGGGGCCGAGCAACTCTCAGCCTTCAGGGCCGCTTGATGCAGGAGCCCAAAGACTGGAAAGCCCAGCTGCAGCCCCCACAAGGACCGTGGACCCAGATGTCACCGGGGGACACCACAGCCCATGCACGTGGCCAAAATGGTGTCCCCAGGCAGAGCCACGAGGAAACCCAACCGCACTCTGTGCCTGGTGCCCACCCATTCACTGAGAGCGAGGGCTCGGGCCAGCCTGCAAGCCAGGCTGGGGACGTGATGGTGGCAAATGGCTCCCTAGGGACGCCCCGGCTCACTCACCTCGCCAGGTCCTGGCTTGGTGGGCGAGCCCTGGGAGCCGGAGACGAGGGAGAAGGGGCTGAGGGGGCTTGTGAGGCTGGCCGAGCTCAGGGGGCTGGCGGGGCTGTTGGAGCTGTATGTCCCCGAGGGGCCAATGGCCACTGTGGAGAAAAGCAGAAATAAGTGCATGCACCAGGGCCTCCATCTCCCCAAGCGGGTGCTGCTGCCTGCCTCGTGGCAGCACAGGCACCAGGGATGCCCCAAGCTGTGGGCACGCTGGGGTTTGTGCTGTGCAAGGGCTGGGACGGACCCTGCTCACCTCTGTGCTTGGCAGTGTCCGTGCCACGGGACGGGTTGTTCTTCCTCAGCCCCTCCATCACGTCCTGGATCCGCCAGATCTCCTTCTGGATCTGCCGGTTGAGCATTTCGTTCTGGAGGGGAGAAAAGGCAGCAGTCAGAGTGGCTCCCACTGCTGCCAGCCCCGCTGCACCCCAGCCCCGCTGCACCCCAGCCCCGAGCTGAGCCATGGGACCCGTGGGCGTTCAGCTGAGGCAGACACAGCCTGGGCGGTGGGTCTGAGCCATCACACCCACGACGCGTGTCCTGCCAGGAGCCATTTCTCGGCTCCCCCAGGCACCTGCTGCAGGCTGCAGGGAGCTGACGGAGCCCCAGCAGCACGGGGAGCGCTGGGCTGCAGCCGCTCGATGGCACCCAGGTGCCCACGGTTCCTCAGCCCCTCTGCCTTTGCCTGTGGCCAAAGCCGGACACCGAGGGCTGAGCATGGAGCAGCCACTTGCAAACCGGCTCTTTGCGGGGAGCGGATGGCTGAAGGAACCAGGGGGTTCCCACCTCCACGGGGATGGTGGGGAGACCCCCAGGGATGGCAGGGGGACCCTGGGGCCGGCAGGGTCCCACTCACCTGGATGTCCAGGTTCAGCTGCTCCCAGAGGTCGTCGTGCAGGGCAGACACCTCGCTCTCCAGGCTCTCGTACTCGGCAGTGCTATTTGCCAAGGCCTGGTGGGGAAAAGGTGGGTGTGTTAGGGGGTCTTTGGCAGGTTTCCCCCCCGGCTGGCAGCAGCCCTGGCCAGCGCAGCGTGGGAGCACCTGGGAAAGCATGAGGACGCTGCACCCAACACAACCCACCCCGAGCCATGGAGTGGCAGTGGGGCGGGTACCAGCTCTGCCGTGCCCCAGCCAGGCTGTGCCCGTGGGAGTGCCTGGTGCCGACGGCACGCCAGGCACAGCAGTGCGGGGGAGCCAGAGACGGAAGCAGGAGCTGAGATGGCTCTGGGTACATGTGCCAGCTTGGCACCATGAGGGTTAATTTGCTTTGTCCCCAGTGAGGGACTTTGGCTCATCTGGGACCCCAGCCAGCCAGCCGAGGGGATTTCCCTTCTGGATTTTTTACACAAGAAGGAAGAAAAGGGATCGTGGCGGGTGGGGGAGACAGTCCCGGCGGCTGCTCGGGGCTGGTGGGACGGGGACCGCAGCGGAGGGGGAGCCGGTTACCGTGCTGGCCTGCGACAGCTCCACGCGGATGTTGATAAGCTGGTTCTGGAGCGATTCCTTCTTGTGCAGCAGCTTCTCTGGGTAGGCGGGCTGGCTCCCAAACATCTCCAGCTCCTGGTGTGTCCCCATCAGGGCACTCTCCAGGCTCTCCTGGGGGGGGGACAGGAGGGAGATGCAGCCGTGAGAGCCCGGCTGGTGCAGGAGCTGCAGTCCCTCTCCTTAACAGGCCATTAACACGGCGAGTCCTGGGACCACGGCATGGCCAGGGCATCTCCAGCTCAGAAACACCCCTGCTGAGCTGTGCCCAAGACAGCAGGACATGTCGCTTCCTCGCCACGAAGGTGCTGCCTGGGCACAGCCATGGCCGTGCAGCCAGGTTCGTCCCCGGATGGCCGCTTGAGCTGCCCACCACGTACCTTCTCTGCTCGGAGCTGCTGCACCAGCCTCTCCTGCTCCCGCAGCACCTTGTTCTGCTCACAGAGCTTCCCCAGCAGCTTCTGTCCCCGGGAGGGAAAGAGAAAGGGAGGAGAGGATGAGAGCCCAGCGATGGGGTGCGCAGGGTGCACCCGTGCAAACGGCTCTGTGCTCAGCCAGGAGAGACGGGATGCAGCCGGGACATGGCCCACAGGGTTGGTTTGATGGGACAACACGTGGTCCTGGGGAGGGTTTCCAGCCCGCTGCTCTCATTGCAGGGACCTCAGCCCCGGCCAGGGTGACACGGGCCAAATCTGGACATGGGGCAAGACCAATCAGCTAAGCTCAGTGGAGGATTTAGTCCCTGAGCAGCACACACCACACTTGGGGCAGCACCAGGTCCCACCCCGGCTGTGCAGGAGCACTTGGCACAACTCTCTCTATGGAGATAGCAGACCTGCTGTGGGGGACAGGGACAACAGCACGGGGCAGAGGGGGGGACACACAGGATGGACGTTTGCTCTTACGTCGGTGTCTTGCTCGCTTATCTTGTAGGCGTGCAGTGTCTCCCTGTAGGCATCCGGGAAGGGCGTCACCTGCAAGCAGAGTGTGGGGTAAGCCCGGCTCCGGGAGCCCCTGGGGAAGGTGAGGCAGCTCCCAGCCCCTCTCCCCCAGCCCCGTGAGCAGGGAAAGAGAGGCGAGAGCCGAGTCTCTGGAGGCAGCGGGTGCTCCCCGCAGCCGGCACGGCTGGGCAGGCACCAGCATCGGTCGGGAGGCAGCGGGTGCTGCAGGTAGAGTGGGATGTTGGTGCTGGAGCTCTCGCCCTGGCCCTGCCCAGTGGCTCGGATGAAGGCACAACCTCCCTCCCCATTCCCAGCCCCGGTGCCCATTGAAGCCATGGGAATTAGCCAGAGACAACCTCTCCGCAGGACGCCAAGAGCTGAGTTAAAGAGATGCCTCATGAATCATTAACTGCCTGGCATATAACAGCCACCATCTTACAGGCAGGGAAACAAAGGCAGAAAGATTAAGCCGTAATCCCACTTAGCAGAGTGGAAACACCTATAAATCAGCAGCTGCACCAGGGCCTGTTTACCATCCGGCTTCTCTGTGAGTCATTTTCCTTTCCTGGAAATCTAAATTACTAATGGGACCTCAACAATTAAATGCCTCCAAGATCTCAAGATGAAAGGCATAAGATAGGAAGAAGGGGATCATTATTGCTAGAAAGCAGGATGCTACTTTAGAGCCATTTAAAACCATAGGAGAATGCAAATAGACCTGAACCTGGGAAATGCCCAGCGCGCCTGGAGGCAGAGCCTGGCGGATGGGGATGCTGCTGCCTCCAGGCAGGGAGCCTGGCCAGAGGGAGCATCTCAGCAGCTCCAGCTTCGCCCTCCAGCATGTCCCTGCTCCCTGCGCACAGCAGATGGGAACAGGCACCTTCCCTTCATCGGAAAACCCCAGCGATCGCCCGGTCGCTGCACGCTCGCACAGCCAGGAGATGCCCTGGGCAGCATGGCGGGGCCCCACGACCCCTCTGCCCAGGGCTGGCAGCACGATGGGCTGCGGATCGCAGTGACCCAGAGACACGTTCCCAGGTGACGGGACCTGCCTGCGCTTGGAGCTGCAGCCCAACATCAGCAGGGACATCCCGATGCTTTTGCAGCCTCTCTGGGCAGGGGAACTGAAAAGTGCAGAGCCTTGGGAGGTAAAAGGCTGTTTCGTCTCCCTGTTAGGGGAGTTATTGCTTTGGTTTAAGAGCCTTGGGCTGGATTCCTGTCTTTAAGTCATCCCACACCTTCTCCTTGCCTCATCAACACATGACAGCAAACAGACAGTGAGCAAAGCACCTGAGTCCAGCCCAAACGAGGATGACTTCAAGACCGCTGTGTCCCCACCTTGTGCCCTCAGCACAAGGATTTACTGAGTTTTAATGGCTCATGGATGGACTAGCAAAGCCTGTGATGGACTAGCAGGTCCCCGAGAGCGTGATGTGCCAGAGCCGCATGGATGCTGGAGTCTGCATGAGTGGAAATGGCAGAAGGTGACCTCGGGGATGGAGCGTGGGGCGGCTGGCGTGGCTGCCATGCACGAGCCATGCACGGCCCGGCGGCCGGAGGCTTACTTGCATGTAGAGCTGAGCCCTAGGGGAGGAGGTCTCCACCATCCTGTTCACCATACTGATCAGGGTTTCGCTCTCGCTCATCTGCGGCAGACAGGGAAGGAAAGTTCAGAGGTCAGCAGAGATGTGCTCGCGTGTTGCGGTGCTCAGGTGCCATCGGAGCAGCGGGGTGGCTCAGTCCAGGAGCCCTCGGGGCATCGGGCTGCAAGATGCCACCTCCAAGAGATGTCCCAGGGGCTCAAGCCACAAAGGGACAGCTGCCCCAGGCTGCTGCTGCTCCATTTTGTGCAGTCAAGAGCGTCCTGGGCTGGTTGCATGCCCTGAAAACTTTGTTGTGGGGAAAACACAGATAAAACCGAGCCAGCTCCGAGCTGGGTGGCAGCAAACTGCACACACAGACACAAGCTCGCACAGAGACACCCATGGCTGCAACACACAGTGTGGTCCCAGCAGACAGACAGACGGGCCCCACTCCTCGTGCTGACAAACGGCACGGTGGCCTGCCCTCGCGGCAGAGCCGGCCCCGCTCAAGGCGCAGACGAGCTCCAGGCATAGGGGAAGGTGACTGAAGCCTGGCGTTGGGGACAGCAGCGTCCCCCTCTCCAGTCCAGCAGCCTCAAGCAGCGGAACCGGGTGGGAACAGGGTGCTCCCGTGGAGATGGCACATAATGGCCGTGCTACCAGGCAGGGCAAGGATGCGACGGTGTTCGGCATACCTATACCTCCCCAGAACTGCAGCCGGCTGGCAGTGCTGCCCCGGGCCGTGCCGAGCCCTCCAGGGGAGCGGGGAAGACCCCAACCCCAGGGGCCATTCACACCCGAAGGGTTTTGCTGCTCTCACTGCACTGCTGCCGGGGCACGCAGCCAGCAATGGCCGCAGGGTCCCTCGGTACTGTGCGGCGGAGCTGCTCAAATCAGCAGCACCGGAGCTTCACGGCTGCCTTTGCCTGCAGAAGCGCTGCAGGAGCCCGCAGCCCAGAGCGGACGATACAAGGGAAGCCCCTCATGCCCTGTGGCCACGACCCTCGAGGTCCAAGGGGTGACGGCAGTTTAAGCACAAACCAGGGACCAAACACTGACTGGGGGCAGGTCAGTAAGGCGGGGTGCAGCAGAGGGAGCCGTCCCCACGACTGGACAAACAAGGAGAGAGAAAATAAAGCAGCAAGCTGTTTGAAAAGAGATACTTGACAGCATCGCTCCGAATTAGTCTCTCCAGAGGTCAGCAGGAGAGGAGGAGGAGATGCAAAGCCTTTTTTGGGAGTGTTTTAAAGAGCCTCGGAGAGTGAGCATTGCTGCCAATGGCTGTGAAATAATCCAGAGAGCTTTTATTGCAGCGAGTGCTCCTGCCTGTCCTTGGCTTTGCTCCAAGGCAGACACAGATCTTGGCGATTACTGCACCGATGGAGATTTGCAGACTAATGAGATCGTCTCTGGAGCAGCTCCCTTAGTGCAAGCCTGGCTTTTGCAGGCAAGCGCCTGGGCTGCAGCACTGGCTGACACCTCCTCTCCCTGGCTTTGACTTCAGCCGGTGCCTGCGGTTTCCACCCCACCAGTCCCAGGGGTCTCTCCCAGCCGGATTGCGCCCACCCCGCTCCTGGGATGAAGTCAGTTCACAGCTTTCCTCCAAACACACCCTGCCACGCAAAAACCTGGGAGCTGCTGCTTTGGTATCGGTCCCAGCGGATGCCTCACCCCAGCCCTGCATCAAGCCTCTCACCTTCAAGGAGGAACAGGGCCAGCACGTCACCGAAACTACCTTGTACCCGTCCAGCTCCCAACGGCTCGCCCGGCCGCTCCCCCGCATGGGGGGCACCAGCCCCAGGACTCCCGCACCCGCGC